ATCCTGAACTCCACCATCTCATGGTCACTGCAGCCAAGGCTGCCCCCAACCTTCACATCTCCAACCAGACCTTCTTTGTTCGTTAGTACAAGGCCTAGCATTGCACCTCTCCTCGTTGGCGTCTCCACCACCTGAGTCAAGAAATTATCATCAATCCTCTGCAGGACCCTCTTTGACTGTTTGTGCCTAGCTGTGCTGTCTTGCCAACAGATGTCAGGGGGGTTGAAGTCTCCCATGAGAAGCAGGGCCTGTGATCGTGAGGCTACTTCCAGCTGTCTGTAGAAGGCCTCATCGACGACTTCCTCCTGGTCAGGTGGCCTGTAGTAGACCCCCACCACAGTGTCGCCCATGTTACCCTGCCCTTTGGTGAGGCTACTTCCAGCTGTCTGTAGAAGGCCTCATCGACGACTTCCTCCTGGTCAGGTGGCCTGTAGTAGACCCCCACCACAGTGTCGCCCATGTTACCCTGCCCTTTAATCCTTACCCATAGGCTCTCCACTTGCTCTTCATCCACCCCGAGGCAGAGCTCCACACATTCTAGTTGCTCCCTCACATAAAGAGCAACTCCACTGCCTCACCTTCCTGGCCTGTCTTTCCTGAAAAGCATGTAGCCATCTATGACAGCATCCCAGTCATGTGAACTATCCCACCATGTCTCTGTCACTGCAATGAGATCATGGCCCTGTGACCGCACACAGATCTCTGATTCTTCCTGCTTATTCCCCATGCTGCATGCATCGGTGTACAGGCATTTCAGAGGTGATTGAGCATGCAGGTTTCCTAGGAGGGGTGCAAGAGGATCCTCCTTAGTCATGTCCCATCCCTCTCCAGCTGCATGCACCTGCTGGAGGCGTCCCAACCTGAGCTGCGTTTTGCTGAATGCCCTATCTCTATAACTCTCCCTTCCCCCATCTTTCCTAGTTTAAAGCCCTCCTTACCAGGCTGACCAACATATTGGCAAAAAGACACTTGTGCCCCGCTTGGTGAGTTGTATCCCATCTCTCCCCATCAGTTGCTGCTCTTCAGACAGGGTCCCATGTTGTAGAAACCAAAATCCTATTGCCAGCACCAGTGGTGCAGCCAGTTGTTAACTTGGAAAACTCGTCTACTCCGCCTCCCGTCCTTTCCCCTCACTGACAGGATTGAGGAGAAAATGACATGGGCCCGCAGACCCTTGACCACCATTCCCAGAGCTCTGAAATCCTGTTTGATGGTTTCCAATTTGCCTTTCCATTAGTGCCCACATGGAAGGCACTAATGCACAGCGTAATAGTCTGATGCACGGACAAGCCTTGGCAATCTTTCCACGACATCTCTTATTCAAGCCTCTGGCAGGCAACAAACCTCTCTAGA